AACCTGAGCCCCGCCACATGCACAATGGAGGACCTCCTTGCAGCAACACCAGAGGCACTCCAAGTGGTCAGCTACAGGTCAAAGGACATTTAATCAACTACCAAGCTTGCAAACTCTGTTTTGTCTGTCTGTTAAAAATTTGTTAAAAATGTAATACAATTGTCTGGTTGATACTGACACGATAAATAAATAAATAGTGGGATTGGAGGGGTTATATATATTTTATTTTCTTCAGGGACAGGGCAGACAATTGAAGAGGAGGCATTTTGATCAAAGGACTCATAATGTGGGGTGCAGTGATATGACTAGGGGTGCATAGAACTAATGTAGTTTGACACCATGTTAGCTGCCATGGATGTCCTCTGCATAAATATGGCATTGAACTCCAAAACTCCAGATGATCTCTACCAGCGGTTTCATGTAAATGTCAAATAACATGGGGAACAGAATAGAGCCTTGAGGTACCCTGCAAGCCAACAAGGACTAAAACAGAGTTTAGGCCGTATTTGCCACTATTCCTGAATCCAGCCATTATAATTATTAGGGCATCAAACAGTATAAAGATGTGTTGGAAGCTACGTGATGCAAAGCTAATCTACACCACAAAATTTATTATAATTTTATATTTTGTAGTTTTCACAATGACAAACAATTGAGTCTAAAGTTTTGGAGTTTGATACCATCTCTACACAGATGTCTAACTCTTATCACTCCTTTCCACTTGCTGCTAAGGAGGCTGGCCAGGTCCTGAACTGATGTGACAGTTTGGATGAGGGTGAACAAATTGGATCCAGACAAGACAAAGGTCCTCCTGGTCAGTCAAAAGGCTGAACAGGATAGAAGAGTACAGCCTGTGCTGAACGGGGTTACACTCCCCCTGAAGACACAGGTTTGCAGCTTGGGAGTAATCCTGGATTCATCATTGAGCCTGGAACCCCAGGTCTTGGCGGTGGCCAGGAGAGCTTTCACACAATTAAAACTTGTGCGCTAGCTGCGCCCATACCTTGAAAAGCCAGACTTCACCATGGTGATCCACACTCTTGTTACATCTCGAATATACTGCAATGAGGTTGCCTTTGAAGAATGTTCGGAAGCTTCAAGTAGTACAACAGGCAGCAGCCAGATTGATAACCAGCATGGCATACTGGGAGCATACACCCCCCCCCCCCATTATGCCCACTCCACTGGCTGCCAGTCTGCTACCTTGAACAATTAAAAGTGCTGGCTTTAGCCTATGGCCCAGCTTATCTATCTCCCTCTATGAACCCCATCTAGAAGATTAAGATCTTCTGGGGAGGCCCTGCTCCCAGTCCCAACTACTTCACAGGTGTGGCTGGTGGGGACAAGGCCTCCTCAGTGGTGGCTCCTCAGCTGTGGAACCCCTTCTCTGGTGAAATAAATTGCAAGTCACTTCTGGTGTGAGACAATTGGCTGTCTGCAAGGATGTTGCCCAGGGGACGCCTGGATGATTTTTGATGTTTTTATCATCCTTGTGGGAGGCTTCTCTCATGTCCCCGCATGAGGAGCTGGAGTCGATAGAGGGAGCTCATCTGCCTCTCCCCAGATTCGAACCTGCGACCTGTCGGTCTTCAGTCCTGCCGGCACAGGGGTTTAACCCACTGTGCCACCCGGGGCTCCTAATCTTTTAAAAGAACCTAAGGACCTGGCTGTGAAACCAAGCATCCGGAGAGTACTGCAGTGCAACAGGTAGCAATGAAGTGATTGTAACATGATTCGAATGGCTCCTGGATTATGATTTCAGATCTTGTTTTTATTTATTTTAATATTTGGCAAAAGTATGATAGCTGGGACCCTACGCTGGTTGCGCAACGCAGGTCTGAATTAATGAGGGGAGCACATGTGCGAGACAGCGCAGAGAGAGACGCMGCTGCGTCAAGTCGTGGGAACATTGTTCRCCAGAAAGGGGGAGAGGAAACATTTCTATCCCATTTACTGTCTTTGTAAGCYGTTGTTTATCATTTAACAGTAAATAACTCTAACATTACTTCACTCGCCTTAAGCACTATGCTTGGCTGTTTGTTGTCCGSCCCCCCCCCCTTTMTGACCCGTGTAGCACAGGTGTTCTCTTCATTATGACCCGCACTGCGCAAGTAGCATAGCATAGGGTCCCAMCTATCATACTTTTGCCTAATATTTTAATAATGAATAATTATGTATTTATATGTTACTAGCTGTATCTGCCACGCATTGCTGTGGCCAACCTTCCCTCCCTCTTTCTCTCTTCCTTTCTTTCTCTCCTTCCTTCCTTCTCTTCCTCTTCCCTTTCTCCCCATTCTTCCTTCTCTACCTATTCTTGGACTGCAGCTCCCAGCAGTCCTCCTGATCAATCTACCTACCTACCTCTATCTATTCTATCTTATCTATCTGGAGGATTGCTGGGAATTGCAGTCCAGGAATATGAAATTGGAAATATGCAGGGATTAGGATGCGCTCAAAGAAATCTAAGAAGAAAGCTTGCAGCTTGGAAGCAGTGCATTTGGATCATCCTCCTCTCCTAAAGGGGCTGGTCTAGGGGATGCTGGGAGCTGTAATCCAGAAGAGAGTGTGGATATCCTATTGTCTGTTTTGTTTGCCAGGGTTTTTTTTATGTCAGGAGCAATATGAGAAACTGCAAGTTGCTTCTGGTGTGAGAGAATTGGCCATCTGCAAGGACGTTGCCCAGGGGACCCCTGGATGTTTTGATGTTTTTACCATCTTTGTGGGAGGCTTCTCTCATGTCCCCGCATGAGGAGCTGGAGCTGATAGAGGGAGCTCATCGCTCTCCCTGGATTCGAACCTGCGACCTGTTGGTCTTCAGTCCTGCCAGCACAGGGATTTAACCCACTGCGCCACCGGGGGCTCCGTTTGCCTGGCTGAAAGTTGTTTTTGCACTTGCACTGTGGCATCTTTTTACTTTTTTGGCTTTTAAAGTCCCTTCTGCTGTGTTTTTCAGTTTTTATGAGCAATGGTCACTTGTTGGCCTGATAGGTGTATTGTGTCCAAATTCAGTGTCAATTCGTCGTGGTTTTTGAATTATGCTAATCCCACAAACAAACATTATTTATTTATACTAGCCGTCCCCTGCCACGCGTTGCTGTGGCCCAGGCTGTGCATATGTGTTTTTTGTGTATGTATATATTTGTTTTAGGAGCCCACGGTGGCGCAGTGAGTTAAAGCACTGAGCTGCTGAGCTTGTTGATCGAAAGGTCGCAGGTTCGATTCCGGGGAGCGGCGTGAGCTTCTGCTGTCAGCCCTAGCTTCTGCCAACCTAGCAGTTTGAAAACATGCAAATGGGAGTAGGTCATGCCGGCCACATGACCTTGGAGGCGTCTACGGACAATGCTGGCTCTTCGGCTTAGAAATGGAGATGAGCACCACACCCCAGAGTCAGACATGACTGGACTTAATGTCAGGGGAAAACCTTTACCTTTATATATTTGTTTGCGTATATGTATGTTGTTTTGCACGTGTTGTAATGTATTTTTTGGCTTTTTAAGTCCCTTCCACTGTGTTTTTCAGTGTTGTTATGAGTGATGGTCACTTGTTGGCTGATAGATTTACAACTGTCTGCACGCCCACCTATCCCTAAAATATCCATCCTATTTCTCTTGGACATGCCCAGCATTTTTTAAAATGTTAATTACATTTGGCCCTGCCACAGGTTTTTAATTGCGTCGTGATATTGTTATTGTTTTGCTTTGTTATGAATTATTGTTGTATTGTTGTGTTTTATTGATTTATTTATAGACCAATTGTTCTTTGGCAGCTGACAAGCCTTCAATGTTGATTGAGATTAATGTTGAATGAGGTGGGATTTTTTTTCCTTTAATCTATTTTGTTCTGTTAGAAATGTAATCCAATGGCATGGTTGCTGATGACACAATAAATACATATTGATTTGGGCTCGGCCTCTTGTAAGCCGCACCAAGCCCTGCGGGAGATGGTAGCGGGGTATAAATAAAGGTTTATTATTATTATTATTATAGGTGAATTGTGTCCAAATTTGGTGTTGTTCATGGGAGTCCTGTGTGCCACGTTTGGTTCAATTCCATCATTGGTGGAGTTCAGAATGCTCTCCGATTATAGTTGAACTATAAATCCTAGCAACTACAACTCCCAAATGACAAAATCAATTTTTTTGAGTAGGTGTCTTGTGTCCAAATTTGGTGTCAATTCGCCCAGTGGTTTTTGAGTTATGTTAATCCCACAAAAAACATTACATTTTTATTTATATAGATAGATGCTCTTTATGTTTTTCTTTAAAATTGATTTCAATGTATGGTGTATATTGTATTTGTATGTTTTTGTCTGTTGTGGCATTGAATTGTTGCCAATCATGAAGCTGCTCCAAGTCCCCTTCGGGGGGAAAATACAGTAAATATTGTTACCACTTGTCGTCACTCCTGAGCAGGCCTGGGCAAGCTTGGGCCCTCCAGGGTGTTTTGGACTCCAACTCCCACCATTCCTAACAGCCTCAGGCCCCTTCCTTTTCCCCCGGAAAATGCAACTCAAAAAAGAAAAGGAAGGGGCCTGCGGCTGTTAGGAATGGTGGGAGTTGGAGTCCAAAACACCCTGGAGGGCCCAAGCTTGCCCAAAACAAATATATAACACAATAGTAAATAAATATATCATTAATAACAACAATAATAATAATATCTAGGCAAATGGCATCCAAAAAGGAGACGGTAACATTCTTCCCATCATCCCCAAACAGTGCGGCCTCTTAGTATTTCAATGGCCTCCTTTCACGGTGGACAAAGGCCTCTTCTCGGCTCTTCCTCCTCGAAAGCAGGCCCGAGACCTCTCCCTCCGAAGGTCCAGGTAGGACTGAGCGGAATGCGAGAGAAGCCTGGCCTCAAGCCAGCCCGAAGCCCCGCCCACGCCCCCAACCCGCCAATCCCAAGGCCCGAGACAAAAGAGCCAACCGCGTTCCCAGGAAGGGGTCTCAAACCCACTCCCCTATTGGGGAGGGGTCGCCGGGGGAGGGAGGGAGCTATTACCTGGCACTTCCTCCTCTGCGCCTTTCTCGACCCGGAACCAATCCCGCCCGCCGGAGAGGGAGGGGGGAGGGAAGGAGCGAAAAGCTGAGGCCGAATCATTCGAGTGGGGGCGGGGTCTGCGCCCTGTGACGTCACCCTCCCTGTCGAGGAAAGGGCTGGGGTCGAAATGGTGCTGCAGGAGAGATTTCCGGTTCTCGTTCGCAGCTCATAACAACATTCTATGTTCAGAACTAGAGTCTTGCTTTGGCATTTCTCTTTCCAGTAAAAGTAGTGATTTGGTGTGTGTGCGTGCAGGGAAATAAACGTGGTAGGGTTTGTGTGTTCAGCAGAGATTGTATTACATCTCTTTGTACTATTGTTATTATGTTCTTGTAGGTTTTTTTCGGGCTATAGGGCCATGTTCTAGAGGCATTTCTCCTGACGTTTCGCCTGCATCTATGGCAAGCATCCTCAGAGGTAGTGAGGTCAGTTGAAACATTCACACCTAGCTCCAGCAGACAAGAGTCCTTTGTCTCACCCTGGTCATTCCACAGATATATAAACCCATTTTCCTAGTTCCAACAGACCTCACTACCTCTGAGGATGCTTGCCATAGATGCAGGCGAAACGTCAGGAGAAATGCCTCTAGAACATGGCCCTATAGCCCGAAAAAACCCCACAAGAACCTAGTGATTCCAGCCATGAAAGCCTTCGACAATATATTATTATTATTATTATTATTATTATTATTATTATTATTATTTGTAGTATTGTATTACAGTGGTACATTGTATTGTCGAAGGCTTTCATGGCCAGAATCACTGGGTTGTTGTGAGTTTTCCAGGCTGTATGGCCATGTTCCAGAAGCATTCTCTCCTGGCGTTTCGCCTACATCTACAGCAGGCATCCTCAGGGGTTGGGAAGTCTGTTGGAAACTATGAAAAATATCTGGAATGTCCAGGGTGGGAGAAAGAGCTCTTGTCTGTTTGAGGTAGGTGCGAATGTTGCTATTGGCCACCTTGATTAGCATTTAACGGCCTTGCAGCTTCAAGGCCTGGCTTCATTGAAACATTTACACCTACCTCCAACAGACAAGAGTTCTTTCTCCCATCTGGGAATTTCCACAGATATATAAACCCAATTTTCCTAGTTTCCAACAGACCTCACAACCTCTGAGGATGCCTGCCAGAGATGCAGGCAAAATGTCAGGAGAGAATGCTTCTGGAACATGGTCATACAGTCCGGAAAACTCACAACAACCTAACAGTACATTGCCTTCTTCAGGCTAATCAATGGACTAATCACCCCACCGCATGACTGTCGGCCTTCTCCCAGTAGACTAAAATCAGGGAAAAGTTGGGTTGTTATAGGTTTTTTGGGCTATATGGCCATGTTCAAGAAGCATTCTCTCCTGATGTTTCGCCTGCATCTATGTCAGGCATCCTCAGAAGTTGCAAGGTCCTCTGAGGATGCTTGCCATAGATGCAGGTGAAACGTCAGAAGAATGCTTCTAGAACATGGCCATATAGCCCGAAAAACCTACAACAACCCAGTGATTCTGCTTTAAGGCATGCTCTCTAGCAAAGTTCTTATTCCCAGAATGTATAAAGCAGGCATGGGCAAACTTGGGCCCTCCAGGTGTTTTGGACTTCAACTCCCACAATTCCTAACAGCCGGTAGGCTGTTAGGAATTGTGGGAGTTGAAGTCCAAAACACCTGGAGGGCCCAAGTTTGCCCATGCCTGCTCTACAAGCTAGCTGGCATTGCCCCCTTGATATGCAACGGGACTTAAATCAAGGAAAAGCTTCATGTGAACCACCACTCCTCTTAATGTCCCTCCAGCAACAGCAAGAATATCCCTGTGGGTAGTAAAATCAGGCAATTCCAACTGGATGACCACCATGAGGGTCTGCATCCAGGGGCAAACTCAAGAACTTCCTGAACTATCCATGGGATAACCACACAAGACAGAGTGACTAACAGAAGAAACTGCAGGGGTTAGAAAACAGAGTGCAATTCTGTGTCATTTTGAACAGATTGTGTACTGCCATGAACAAATTAACAGACTTCATTAAGGAATTATGTTTTAAGAGTGGCTTTGCGGTGAATTGGGGTGGGCAGATCAAAAGGCAACCTGGTAAAATGGCATCACCTAGAAGAATCCTCCACCTTGTGCGACTGTGGAACAGAACAAACAACTCCGTATTTGTATGCTTCCCTACCATGCCGTGCCTCATGCACAGAGGATGGTTTGTTTAAAGCTACAGACAATGCAATCGCTGTTGCTTGTTCCTGGTCAAAAATTGTTTAGCCCCTTGTGCTCCTTCTGTTTTTATCAGTTTTATACTTATGTATGCAATGCTTTTGACAAAAAGTAATAAAAATGGACTATGGCCTTGGCTGTTCCGGACAAAGTATGTTTCAGACTCCTGGTGCTGTCATCCATCTGATGTGTCTTTTAAGCTTATGATCTGGCTACATGCAGTTAAAGCCTCTTGGAGCAGACCATGAAATATATTAATTTTATACTAGACCTGTCTGCATTTTCAAGATGTTCAGTGTGCTTCTAAACCAGGCATGGGCAAATTTGGGCCCTCCAGGTGTTTTGGATTTCAATTCCCACAATTCCTAACAGCCGGTAGGCTATTAGGAATTGTGGGAGCTGAACTTCAAAACATCAGGAGGGCCCAAGTTTGTCCCATGCCTGTTCCAGTGCTCCCTTTTTCTCGGGAATTAGAAACTGGTGAGCAGAAATAATTCTATGTTCTCTTGTGGTTAAAGGAGTGGCAAGATACCAGAAGCAAAATAAATGTGGATCTATTATTCAATAGATTAAATATCTCATGTCCCTTTCAACATATGAGCATGTGGCAACTAAATGCAGTTGGTGGTGGGGGGGGGGGGGGGGGGGGGGGGGGGGAGACGGCCTTCTTGGTGGTGGCTCCCCAACTCTGGAACTCTCTCCCCAGGGAGACTAGACTGATACCCACCTTGACCACCTTCCGAAAAGAACTAAAGATGTGAATGTTCCACTGTGCCTTCGACTAAATAGTTCCCCAAAAAATTCTGGTTCCCAATTTGATCCCTAATTAGATCTTGCTAATTATCACTGTTTCATTTTAGAGACATACTGCTCTCCTGCACAACCCCCAGTTCCTAATCTTGTCATCTGCCATTAGCTCTTTATCCATCAAACCTATCCTTTGGCAAGTGATTTACACCAGCCACCACCTGAACTCAGAACCGTGCACTACTCAGACCTTTGAAGGTTGTTAGATGTTTGCTATCTATTGTATTCTGTAGTTGTTTTAAATTGTTGAAATGTTTTTAATTAATTTTGTAGTTATATTTTATTTTAACATATTCCACATAAGGAACCTCGGGCTTGTCCCAATGTAAGCTGCTATGAGTCTCTTTGGGGAGATGGAGGAAGGGTACAAAAATAAAGTTATTATTATTATTATTATTATTATTATTATTATTATTATTGATAAGGTCATGCACAGACTTCTATCCTCCATTGTTGTGCTGTTAATCTGATTGTATATCATCTGCCTTTTCATTTTCTTTTTTCTTATATACAGTAACTTTGGCATAATAAAAAATAAATGGGGGCAAAACCTTGCACTTTGTCTTCTTTCATTATCACAGCTTTCATTATCCAGTTAAGAATGCCCTCATTTGCATGGATTCTGTATCCACGGTTTCCATCATCCATTAAAAACACCCCCCACCCAAAAAAATTAATATCCAAGAAGCAAACCTTGATTTTGCCAATGGACCTCATTACTCCATTGTATCTCATTACCCACAGATTTTGATACCCACAAGAGGTCCTGAAATAAAGTTCTAGCGGATACCAAAAACCCACTGTAAATGCAAGGCAGAAATGGCAGCGATTTGTTCTAAAGACGACCCTTGGTACACCAATTTCTGTGATCATTTTTATTTGTTAAATTAAAACCAATAACAATCAGAAGTGAATCGAGGGTAGTATATGGCTAAATAGCAGGTCTCCCTGCAGTTATTGCCATTGTTCTGCACTACGGCTGTTGTTCATTCTAAGGCAAACACAGGCAACAAGGCCAGTTTTGGGAACAGAGGGGGCGACGACAACAAAGGTCAGAGAATGGAGTGTACACATATAATACATTTCTATGGACTTAAAAATTGTCTCTTTTTGCCTTGATTTCTTAATTTAATAGCTCCCCAAAACTGGCTGCTTTCAGCTAACCAACACTCTTGTGTTCCTTCCTTCCATAGATTTAAAAGTACAACTCTGTCAAAATATAGATAGAGACTCATTTGGGGGAAATCTCACCACAGAAGGATGAGGGAAGGAGAAGGGTTACGTAGTGCAAAAAGAGACAGTGCTAAGGTAGGGAACTACCAAAGACAGGGCCTGGAAGTAGGCACTAGAGGAGCGTGTAAGCCAGCTCGGGAGGGCTGAGCGTCTCTCAGCAGTGCCCTATGGCGGAAAGGGTCCACATTAAGGGTGAGGTTAGGCTCTGTACCTCAGGCCCAGTGCTTCAAGTAAGAGCTACTGGAGGTCACTCTGTGCAATCAAGTGATACGTAGCTTGCAGAATAGGGTGGTAAAGTGCACCCACCAAAGCTGCTAGTCCACAAACATTAGCAAGGGGGAGTGCCCCTATCTAGCCTGGCATTGGTCCCTTATGGGTTAGTGTTTTCCAGTGGCACAAGTGCTCTTCACTTTCATAGCAGTTACATATATCCGACACAAGACACAGTGAGATTTCTAAAGTGAGGCTGCAGCTGAAAGAACCAAAAGAGCGATCCTCTTGGGATGCAGTGAAGCCGTCAGCATCTGAGATGAGGTGCCGAGATGGCTGATGTAAGGAGCTCAGTTGGAGGTGACCAGGGGACTGTGGGAGGAGAGGTCCATGCTGCTTTTACTGAAGCCTTTGCTCTGAGGCCGAAGTCCTTGAGAGCCCTAAAAAACAAACAAACAAACAAACAAACTCCTTTCCTCACAAACTTGTAACTTCCAATCCTAAGAATACCTGCAGCAAGGGAATGTGTTTTACAATAGAGGTAAATGATGCTCACCAAGAGGACAGAAACCATTAAGGTAAACTGACAGCTGTAACCACATCTGGCCATATATTTAGATTTTTTGT